AACACACTTCATCGAAACTATAAGCAAGCGAACCACAACGGGGTTGTAAATTAAAAATTCAACAGAAAAAGCTTTCATTTATTCTTTCATTCATTCAGTGAATTTTAAGCAAATGTTTACTGTATAGCAGGCACCCTGCTGGGTGCTGAGAAGTGTCAGTGAGGAAACAAGGCGGGCAGGGACCTCTCCTCGGGTCTCTAAAGGAAAGGCTGAGCATTGCAATAAAATCATTCCAACCCCGATAACTCCAGGATGCAACAACAGAAAGGGCACCTTCAAAGATGGTTGGGAGAGAGGGACACTTCTGCACCTTCAACAAGTGACTAGATTCTGATAAGAATAGTTCAGGAGGGAACCATGGAGGAGCTGTCTTCAGACTTTCAAAGGGAGTATTCTTAGAATAAAAAGTTGCTTTTTAGTAAAGAATTAAGCATGTTAAAAAAAATAAATAAGGTCCCAGCAGGTGGCTTGGTGGTTGAAGTGCTGGACTCCACATGGCTGACCACAGTTTAGGTCCTGGACCTAGTGGCTTGCTTTCTCATTTTCTCACTTTCTCTCTCCCTCTCTAGTGAGCATGAAAATAATAATAATAATAATGAATAAAATGAAATAATTCTTTAACAATAACAATAAATAAAAGGCACAGCCCGGCAGGGCCTTGTTCTGGATCCATTCCCCAGTCCCGGTAGAACACAAGGGCTCTGAGGTCGTGGCTAGCTCAGACACCACTGGGGAAAGGCTGGCCTGGCTGGTTTTCCAGGCAAATACACAAGGAGCCTTCTGCACAAACAAATGCGAACAGTCAAAGCCAGAATAAAGCTTGCGACAGGATGCTGGAAACCTCTGCAAAGGGACCTTCGGAATGAGTGCAGCCTAACTCCCAGCATATCTGAACACCCTCAGCAACATAAAGCCTGTGCTATCTCACAGTAAGGACGGCGTTGCTGCCAATTATTTTCTGCCCCAGTCAAAAGAGCTTGTCATCCTTCCACAGAACAATTATCGATAGGTGCATAATAGTTAAAAGTCAAATTCTTTCCCCAATTCAGCACAGGAAAAGTGCTGCTCATAGCAATTTGACATCATTTCATTAGATGAGATTAATTTTTAAATGTGTTATCCTAACAATTATGCCAACTACCATGTAATTAATATTCCAACTGACTTTACAAAAATTACAAAATCCCCTAAAGAAAATAATTAGTCATTAGGCATGAACGAGACTTTTCTGTGACCAATTGCACATAAAACAGAAAGTTCAGCTCATAATGGTGGTTGCAAAGCTGCTCCCACTCCCCTTCAGTTCTCAGCCAGCGGTGCGTGAAGCTGACATTGGCAAGTTACCCCAACTTCACTTAACATGTTAATGCACTTACTGCTTTAAACTCTTTGAGGGTAAAATGATGAATGATGAAAGCTTTAGCAATTAAAAAGCTCTCTTCATTTGTAGGAGAGGAAAGATAAACACATATAATTAATTGTTTGTTTCTTCCAAGTTCCCAGTTGGAAATTAGAATACTGGCTTATTTCTTCAGGCCACTTCTTCGGTTTACTGTGTGTGTGTGTGTGTGTGTGTGTGTGTGTGTGTGTGTGAATAGGTGGGCCAGCAGGAGGCATGATGGTTAAGGCACTGGACACACCCACATGGTCAAGTCCCAGACCTGGTGACTTGCTTTCTCTCTTTCCTTCTCTCTGTGTGTCTGTCTTTTCTCCGATCAAATTAAAAGAAATGAATGAATAATAAAAATTAAAATAAATAAAATTAAATAGATAATTCTTTTAAAATAAATAAATAAAATGTGAATAGGCATGCTTATCCTCGTTTTACTCTTTTTACATATTCTTATAATCCACTTTAAATCCTTTCTAGAGTAAGTGAAGGTATAAATAAGTAGGAGTCACGTAGGGCATTCATTATCTACTACAGCAGAAATTAGAAGACCATGTCTTCCCTGTCACCTATGGTCGCTGAATAATCAGTGGTTGTTATCTAGCCCCAGAACAGAGTTGCAAGGATTCTAAGCCGATACACACATAGCCCCCGCAGGGAAAAATACAACAGTTGATTAGTGATGTCTGTCCTGGAAAGAGCAGTAGTTTGAGAAGCCACATACCATGTGGGTATTATTTGCATTTCTATCCTTTGAACCACTACAAATTAGGAAAATGTTTACAGGCTCGTGAATAAAATACAAAACACCGGTAAAAGAGGGAAGATGTTTTCTGTAATTGAAATCTTAAGCAAAAGTGAACTAAAGCATCGAGTTTTACAGAAAAGAACACTGGCCTAAGTCAGGACACCTAAACTCCAGTCTAGCTGGGAAACCGCGAATAGACCAGTTCACTGGCCTCAGTCTGCTCAGCTCTGAGACAAGGGGGTTGAAACTGTGAACCGTTCTCTGTGCTGATGGTACTAGAGAGGTGGTGAAAGAACACGGTTACTTTAAAGGAGCTTAACCTCACCTGGTAAGGAAAATGCCTAAAACCTCTGCATCCTCTCACACTGTTCACGTGGGATTTACAATCTTTGATAGATTTCTACCTTATTTTTTAACCTGTATTTTTAAGCTTTAGCATCTCCAGGGTAAGAAGTTCCATACACATATTTCTTTCCCTTAAGCCAACCTCTTCTCTACCTTGAGGCAAGGATTGGAGTCAGGGGCAGCAGGCTTCTATTTTAATACTTGAACAATCACATTCGGTGAATAATGAAACTACTTTCATTCGAAAGTGTCGTCACTTCAATATAAGGACCAGTCACTTCCACTGTCAGTCCCAATTACTCACAGTGTTGAGATCAGCCTAAATCTTTTCACCACTGAGAAGTCCTCACCACTCCAACCTATTTCAAGAACAACTCTACCCAAGTGATATGCCAGCATGGCCTCCTCATCCAAACACCAAAAAGCAAGACTTCCCAGACTCCCACCAGAAGAGCATCACCCAATCACTAGGTAACTCAGGTTTGGATGACCAGAATGCTCATGGGAAAACAAGGAAGCTTAACCAAGTGGTCTGAGGTAGTGCTGTCTGTGTGAGCTGGATTGCCCCATGTCTGGCTAGGCAAGCACAACAGACATCTAGCATTTTTTGTCTGCCCTGAATCCCCTCCTTTTGGGAACTTCCTCTCTCCAACTCCAGGAACCCCACTTCCTATGTTTCAGATGATCCAAGCTAAGAATCCCACCCACAGACTCAATGACCCCTGTCAGAGGGTCCCTATGAAGTAGGGCCAGAGTCCTTTTCCAAGGCCTGACATGCACACTAGGTGTAAGAACTGTGCAAACCTACAACAGCCAAGCCATCTTTTCCACCACTTGGCGAATTTCAGGCCAACAAAAGCAAGGAGGCCAGGGCCAGCAAGCAGTCTAGTGGTTGAGGTGCTAGACTCCCACATGGCTGACCCCAGTTCAAGTCTCAGACCTGGTGACCCAAAAATCACAACAAATAAAATAGATAAATAAATAAATAAACAAATGTTTAAAATAAAATTTAAACAAAAAGGCTAGGAGACCAAGAGAGGATAAGAAAGTGATAGGTTTCTGCCACGCCACCTGCATATTCAGGTCCTCATGAGCTCAGGAGCACACAGGACACGCCCTGCATATTTAGTTCCTGGGGTCAATGAAGCTCTCCCCTCCACCTTTTTTTTTTTTTTTTTGCTTAATATAGACCAAACTGGGTTTCTGTCAGTGGCAGTCCAGAAGTCCAGAGTCCGGAGGGAGAGGCTTCATAGGCTAAACGTATGTATCCAAGCTTCAAGTTTCTTTCTTTAGTATCCCATGACAAATCACCTATTCCCTGACTCTCAGACTCAGTTTCCAGGGCTCCACTTCAAACCAAATATTAAAATATCCTCACAGAGAAATTCAGAGAAAAAGTTCTGCATATCAGAAAAGCTGCCAAGACTTATCTGTCACTCAAGACCTAAAGGGAAATGGCCTACAGAAAAGAGGAAAAAGATGATGGCTACCCAGAGGGGACAGCGCATTCACGACCATTAAGTGTAAAAATAATTACCTCCAGGGAGGTAGCCCTGCATGAGGTAAGCTTCCAAAATTGTTCCTGAAGTATATTCTAGTTCCCTATCAATGGAAAGCATAAACACACACACAAAACAACACACAGCACACAAACAAAGGGAACTTGTCAGTAAACAAATTAACTGTTTTCAGACTCATGAGCCAAATTGTGCCTGTTATTTTTAAACTACAGTTTAGTTCTCCTTTTACAGCTGTCCTAGAGAGTATGCCTGATTGCGGAAGGAATCCATGAACATCAAATTCCATGGAGCATGTTAAGAGCAATCTCCCTACAACGAGGCCTAAATTAATTAGAGTGATCTAACAGTATCCTAGTGATGGTCTTCCATCAATAATAGGGAAGACGATAGGAGGTCATAAACGATGCGAGTGGCTAGCCATTCAGACCACCAGTCCTTAACCTTCTGGGGGTCACAAACTCCTCCAAGGCTCTGACACAGCCTGGACATCTGCCCCAGACATGCACACACCATAGTACAACACGTGTAACATCAAGCGTTCATAAAAGCTGCTCCCCACCCCCAGTCTCTAGGCTAAATGCACCTACTTAGGTGGTTTTTTTTTTTAAATGTAAACCTAAGGATTATTATTAATCCTTAAAGACTTCAAAGGACTACAAAATGGGGAAATTGTGTTTTCTTATAAAGAATTATTTTATTTAACTTTATTTATTTATTTATTTGTTTCAATTTGACCAGAGAGGAACAGAGAGAGAGAGAGAGAGAGAAAGCAAGCCACCAGGTCCAGGACTCAAACTGCAGTTGGCCATGTGGGAATCCCGTGCCCCTAACCACCATGCCACCTGCCGGCCCCAAAGTGGGGAAATTCTAAGACACAAACTCTATAACCCCATGCTGAGTTAAGAACACAAAAATAAAAACATCCCCTCACTTCCCACCTCTATAGAATACAAGAATGCTTGACCTTCCTACATAGCTCCACTTAGACATCTCTTACCTTGTTGGACCATTTATATGCTTGAAGGAGTTGACTATACAAAGGAGTTTTGTCCTGCACAGGATCCAGGCTTAGCAGCCCACTGTTGTGGAGAGGATGGTTCTCAGACGGCTTGCCCACCAAGTTGCTCAGGCGTTCTAGCTCACTAAAAAGTAAACAAAGCAAATACGCCAGTGTAAAGCCAACCACATTGTCCAAAGGCTGCTCTTCAAACTCTCCGTCAGAAGTCCCTTAAGAAAAAACACATTTTGAAAGGCAAAATAAGACTATTCGGAGAGTTTACAGAAGAAACTGAGAGACTAGAAGACAAAACAGCAGGGTTGATACCAGAGACGGTATAGGAGCAGGTAGACAGTGGGAGGTGAGAGGGAGGGGCTCAGGGAAACAAAAAACAACAGGCTCAAGGGTGGAAAGTTACCCATTGAGGAGGATGTGTTCAGTAATATTTTTTACTTGCTTGACATGCAATGCATGTATGCTCTGAAAAACCATGTTGTGTGCTGTAAATACATAAAATGATTAAATGTAAATGAAATTTTAAAAAAGAAAAACAAAAGGTAAGGACAATGAAAAAAACCCTCATAAAGGAGCTTATCTTAATTTAAGTCTTTCAAGCTTTCCACAGATTCCCAGAGAAGTTCAAGACACCTGGAAGGTTAAGGACTGGTGGTCTGAATGTTTAGTGCCATTCCAAAGGAGAAAAACACTTAAGGGAAGCAGAATCGATAAGACTCCTAAAATTGGGTTTTAAAAACTGAAATTAGCCTGTGCGGTGGGGGAGGAGACTCCCTGGGATCTTGAAGTGTCACCTAACTCTGCCTCTCACGAAGGGTTTTCAGACCCACGTGCAGATTGTTCCATTTGGCGGAACAGCAAGTACCTGAATAAATGATGACTATTTATCATTCTCTTAGGGCTAGATTTGTACATGATGCTTCACAGATGGTAAAACTTAACAAAACAAAGAAGAGATAAAATAAACAAATGGAATGGGAAGACTCCATGGAGGGGGCTGTGTCAAACGGCGCACTTCCGTCTAGCAGGCAACTCTGGAGAAGCTTGGGAAAGTGCCAGCTGCAAAAGCACATGCAGGAGAATGTTCGGAGGGGCCGGCAGTTGGCCTCAAACTGCCCACGAAAGGCTCACTGGGAACAGCTGCTCAGGCCTCCTTCGCTGTGGACTCTCGGCCTCCTTTTCAGCACTACTCTACAAAGATTAAGAAGGCAAACAGGTAATGTCAACATCCTTAAAGTTTCTAACATGGTGAAGGGAAGCAAATCAAAGAGAAAATGAAAAGGAAAGAGAAGAACACTCAACACATCCCATCAAGCAGGAAAGGTTTTACCTGGCTGGCGCTTGGCACTCAGCCAGAGAGCAGCAACTGTGGGAACTGAGGTGGGATGTGTGATTTATGGCAACTACACTGGGGGCAAAGGTACCCACTGTTTGGCCACCATCTCCTCCTCCATCCTACCTCCTCCTCCCATCTGGTCACTAAGCTGACCAAGCTGAGGGGAGAGGATCCAACCAGTCTAGAAATCGCAGCATGGCTAGCTCACCAGATGCCTGCCCCTACTAAAGTCAGTTCTGAGAAGTAAAAGAAAGAAATTCTGAAATTCTAACCTTCCTGGGATGGACTTCAAGAAGAGAAGGCAAGTTCAGGACCTAATCAATCAAGAGGGCCCAGTATGTGCCAGGCCTTTTACAAACACCTTCTCATTTAATTTGTACAATAACACTTAGAAAGTAGAAGGTGGCATGTGAGAAAGAGAAGGGTGTGAACTGGTTTTTGTGTGTAAGGGGAGGGTAAGAGCAAGCACAAGCGGTTAAGAGGTTAAGGAGTAGAACAGGAGCAGCCACAGCAGGAGCGACGCTACCACGACCAGGAGGTTTGGGAGGGAGCAGAGGAACAGGACAGGCCCGGACAAGGCCAGTTTTGTCGCTCTGGGGGAGGGTGTGTGGAGGGCTGGAACTGACGACTTCCAGCTTCAGGGGCGGCGAGGTGGGGCTGATCAGATCGGGTGCACTTCCTTGGGTTTGGGGAGCGCTGATCGGGTCCCGTTTGGACCATCCGTACGGATCCGATCAGACACGACGGGGCAGAGCGCCCACAGGTGAGAAACCTGCCAAGCTCAGAGACGTGCAGGTCCACGGGAGGTGTCCCTGAGGGGCAAGCAGACGCTCAGACAGGTCGGAAAGGGAATGGAGAGCACCAGAAGGGAGAACAGCCCCTGACGCGAAGACCCGCGCGAGGTCGGGCAGGTGGAAGGGGGCGGGTCCCCCACCCCGGCGCCTCCAGCCGGTACCTACTTGAGGTCCCGGTTCACTGAATGCAAGTTGTCTTGGAAGTGCGCAATGAAGGCCTTCTCCCGGCCCTCCAGCGTCTCCTTGTTCCGCATGCCATCCTTCAGGCAGTCGAACACCCTGCTCACGCTGGAGCGCAGCGCCTGGATGGCACTGATGGCCTGGGAAAAGGCCTCCAGGTTCACCCCAACGCTCAGCACGTCCGCCATATTGCCGCCGCCACAGCAGGCTCTCCGCGGCCGGCTTCGCCAGCGAGACGCCGCGCTCACTGATGACGTGTCCGCAGAGGCCTCTGGGAAATGTAGTTGGCGGGGAGAGGGGCTGCCCGGGTAGCTGTGCCCGCACCTGCTGAAAGAGGGGTTCTGATTTAACCCAGCTAGTGCTGGCCAGGAGGTGATTCCGCGTCGGGGAAGGCAGACTGCGCTCTCGGTCTGCTCACTCGGAACAAGGAAACACAGGAAGTTCCCGCACTTCCACAAACTTGACCTGTTGGGAGTCACATGAAGAAGGATTTCACTGAGCGAAGGATATTAACCCGTTGAATAAAATGAGTCCATATTCACAAATAAGTGAGGGAGAAGAGAAATGTATTCCCTACAGTAGAATGCCAGCTAATAGGTGTAGAAGGAATGGTGGAATTAGAACATTGTCATTTGGCAGGAATCAATGGAGGCTAAAACTAGTGGATGAAAATATGAGAAGAATAACAGGATATTTACACAACCTCAGATATTGTCCCCAGGGTACACAATAAATAAGAAGAGAAAAATAATGCTCCAGTAATTCCACTTCTGGGAATATACCCAAAGGAAATGAAAGCAGGGACTAGAGGAGGTATTTATGCACATGTTCATATCAGCATTGTTCACCTGATAGCCAGAAGGCGGATGAACCCAGTGTCTTACTGTGGATAGACAGATAAATAAAATGTGATATATCCTTACAGTGGAATATATGTTTTTCGGCCATAAGGAGAAAGAGAATTCTGGGCCAGCCAGCAGCACAGCAGTAAAGACCTGTGTGCATAGGGAGCCAGACCCCAAACGGCTAAACAAGGTACAACTGCAATGCATGTGCGTGCCTGCCCCAGATCTTACCGGGATGGAGAAATGGAGGAATAAGAATTGCAGTGTCACCATTCCCCACGTATGTGTGTTGGGAGGGGGGTCTCTCCCCTACCCTCCCACCCTCCACTCTCCGAGCAGTGCATGCACCCTCTGGTAATGAAAAGAAGGAGGAGGAGGAGAAAGGAGGAAATTCTGACTCGTGCTACAATATAAACGAACCTTGATGACATTGTGGTAAGTGAAATAAGGCAATCACTAAAAGACAACTATATGTGATCCCACTTATATGAAGTTCTTAGAGTAGTCAAATTTATAGAGAAAGCAGAATGGTGGCTGCCAGGGGCTGGTTTTCAGCGAAGTCCTCTGAAGAGATCACACACTGCAGAGAAGCTGTGGAAGAAAGAGAAGTTTGGAGATTTAAACAACACCAGCAAAATATTGAGATTCCAGACATCTCTCTTTTGGTCCTATACACTATGGACAGGTTTCTGAAAGTTTATTTTCTTTATTACCAGAGAGAAGCTTCCCAAGTCCTCACGTTCTTTCCTTAAAGTAGCTACATTGCATAGCTTGGAACTAAGAATATGAGAGCAGGGTGACGGTCATGATGGTGACCTTCAACTCATCTTCATCTCGATGAGAGAAAAGAGTTCAGCGTTCTCGTGGTGATAACGACAACCAGCTGTAGGAAAATTGTTGGAAGGAAGGTTTCAGCCTAATACTGCAAAGGATTTTAATGACTACGGACTTGGAAAACTTTTGTAGATGGTGGTGGGTGCCCAATACTGTAAATGTCGTAAATGCCAGAACTTAACATAAAAGTGAGTAAATGAGGGACCAGCAGTTAGCGTAATGGTTATGTCGCTGGACTCTCATGTAGTCAACCACAGTTCGTGTCCCGGACCCGGTGGCTTAAAACTCATGCCGGGCACGTGTGCATGCGTGCCCAAGATCCCAAGAGGAGAATGGAGGAGAAGGGATTGTGGCATGGCCATCCCCCCTGGGGAGTGATTTCTCACTTTCTGCCTCTCTGGCCAGCGCACATGCCCTATAGCAAAAACCTCTCCAAAAAAAACAGTAAAAAAAAAAAAAAGTGAGTAAATGATAAATTTTACATTTGTATACTTGACCACAATTTTTTTTAGAATTCATTAATGTAAAAGGAAAGAAAAGGTAGGGTGAGAGGCTAGCAAGTGGCATAGTAGTTAGGGTGCTGGACTCCTACATGGCTGACTATGATTTGAGTCCTGGGCCTGGTAGCTTGCTTTCTGACTTTCTCTTTCTCTCTCTCTGTCTCTCTCTAGTCAAATTTAAAAATAAATAAATAAAGTGAATATAAATAAATGATTCTCTAAAAAAAATTTAAAAAGGTGGGGTGGGTAGCAACTGAGTGGGAAAACCGGGCAGACAGCAGCTTAACAGAGAGGTCAAGGACAACGTCACTGCCGATGGTGCTCGTGTACCTTCTAATACAATGCTCTGAGGAGAGCACAGTATGCAGCTATGCTATTCCTGCCAAAATGCAAAACCTAATCTAATAAGAACATTAGTCAAACTCGATCGAAAGACATGCCACAAAATAACTGACCTATTGTTTTTCAAAAAAATAATAAGGGTCATGAAATACAAAGAAGGCTGAGGAACCGTTCTGGATTACAGGAGACTAAAGAGACTTGAGAATGCAACCTGTAGTCTGGGATTTTCTTTTGCTGATATGATTGGGACCATTGAGGAAATCAGAATAAGGTCTGCAGAATTAGTCAATAGTATTTTGTCCGTGATAATTTCATAATTTAATTCATTAGATTCTGCTACAGGGAGAAATACACTGTGGAAGGATTAAAAAGCCATCATTACATGTGAAAAGTAAACAATACGAACATGTTTATTTAGAAACAGGAAGACCCAGCAGGTGGAGTGGAAGTTTAGATGACTGCTTTGAGTGGGGACCAACGATTTGAAAAACTCCCCAGGTGTGTGTGCACCTCCACCCAAAATCCCAAGGGTTAAATGGGGCGAGAAGGGATTACCTATGGCCATCCCCTGCCCCAGGGTGTGATTTCTCACTTTCTCTCTCTCTCTACTTCTCTGTCTCTCTCCAGCAAGCACACATGCCCTATAGCAAAATTAAAGAAAGAGGGAGGCAGGAAAAATAAAGAAAATGTAGTAAAATATTAACAATCATGAAATCTGAGTGCAGCATATACAGGAAATCTTTGTACACTATGCTTGCAACTGTAAATTTGAAATTATGTCAAAATAAGTTTTTTTAGGGGCTGCCAGATGGTGTGGTGGTTAAGGGTGCTGGACTCTCACTTGGCCAACTGTGGTTTGAGTCCCAGACCTGGTGGCTTGCTTTCTCACTTTCCCTCTCTGTTCCTCTCTGGTCAAATAAAAATAAAAATAAATAAATAAAGATAATTGTGTAAGTCCTTTTAAATAATAATAATAAGCTATTTTAAATGGCAGTAAGGGGCAGGGGAAGTATAAACATAGTCTAGGAGATACGGAAATCTTCAATATTGCTGAGCAGCTGCTGACCAGAGTTTTGAACCTGTAGAGTGCACCTCACTCACACTTCCTCTTCCCCCCGTTCAAATCTGCCAGTTCTAGAACCATTAGAGCAAGCTCTGTTCACAAACTGGGTCCTGAGTTGCTTTCTATAAGACAATGCTCAATCACTGTTTAAATGAATTAATAGCCTCATATGAGGAAAGCTGTTTTGTTGTCCTGGTTGCCTGGAGTTGCTTCCATTTCCTGGCATCTATCTCCCTTTACAGTGTTGCATTTATGGCTTTTATTAAGTGGAGGGAGGAGGACAACAGGAAATTTCTAGTGGTAAGTCCCACCACTAGAACCTCCACGAGCTTCTGTTTTACTAAACACGAGACTAGTAATGATACCTGTCTTTATAAAATAGCGGTGAGGTGGAATAAACTCTTGGAGGTAAAGCTTGTGAAATAAAGCCCAGTGTATGATCAACACTCAGAAAATCACAGTGCTTCAAAGCAGGTGACGGTGACTACCTGTAATCCCCACCTGAGGGTTCGTTACACAGACTCGAGCCAGGATTGGCAATGACCTACTCTCAAATTATTCCTGATGATGTAACCCTGCTGCTAATAGCTTGTCGATTAACTGTGTCTTGTAATTCACTATTTTTGGTGGCCTTTTTATCTCCTCTGTATTGTAGGGGTTTTGTTTGGTTTTGTTTTATGATTTTGTAGTTTTCTTTTAACTTTGCAAAAATAAAGGAAGTAAAAGTAAAGGAAAAGATGAGAAGATTTCAAAAAAGTATGTGCAAAATGGAATTAAAGTATGCATTTATTTTTGTGCAAAACGTTTTTGAAATCCATGCAGTTTTTTTGTAAGACACACTTTCCATGAATCTTTTTTTTTTTTTTTGAAGAGGTTTTTTGCTATAGGGCGCTTGCGCTCACCAGACAGACAGAGAGAGACAGAGAGATAGAAAGCGAGAAACCACCCCCCAGGGGGGATGGCTACGCCGCAATCCCTTCTCCTCCATTCTCCTCTCGGGATCTTGGGCACGCACACACATGCGCCCGGTGTGAGTTTAAGCCGCCGGGTCCGGCACTCGAACCGTGGTCGACTACATGGGAGTCCAGCGACATAGCCATTATGCAGTTAGCTCGTCCCTTTCCATGAATCTTTTGTACACTCCACACTCCTGTGTCCATTGGCTTGTTTGGTTTTTGCTTTGGTGCGTTCGTTCTTTCCAGGGAAAGACTAGAGAACACAAATTCAATTATGTTTCTTTATCTTTGGAAGAAATATTTAAAAATGGGACCCACGCCGTGTACCTTGTCCCCAGAAAAGGAAATGTACCAGCCTGTTTCTGCCTCATCCATATGTACCCATGAACATGAGAGTTCGCATATAATTTCAGGGCATCTGTAGCCCCCTAAAACCCAACATAGACCTCTGGTTGCACCTCACACTTTGCCAGAGGCCCAGTCGGGTCCCCAGTACCTGAGACACGGCAGACACTCGGGGTCCCCAGTGCCTGACTCTCAGTGTAAGTCTGTGGCCGCTATGAATTAATGCAGTATGCTGTATGTGCTTTCTGGCTCCTCTCCAAATGCTCCCGTCTCTCTGTACACTCAGATCTCATCTCTCTCTCTCATGCTCAGCCCCCCTCCTGT